TCCTCGCAAGATTGCACTCCTCGTTTCAAAGTGCTTTTGAAAGGGAAGCATAACATTTAAGCGCATTCGATTGTAGCCGTGTTTCCCTCCAGGATGAAATTCATGAAGTTCGATCCTCAACTGCGATCACTGAGGAAAATTCGGTTACTGTTAGACAACTAATTGAAGAAATCCGTCGCATCACCTTTGAGGAGGTTCATGGATATGATGGTATTGGTATGAGCCAAATTCAAAAAAACTTACGTGTGCAGATGCAATCTCACTTCGGTGATAATGGTTATATCACTTTTATATAATGATTAAGATTAGCTAACAACTTACTTCATATTACATAGGTGTTCAGTTTTAAAAATATAAATAATAAAAATATTTTCGCTCTACATCAATACTCAAACTGGAAGTAGAAATTCTTAAAGGCTGAACCTTTTCTCGAATAAATTAAACTTTAAATTGAACATGCAAAAATTCCTGCATTCGTTCTCATGAATTAAAGTCCAATAAGATTAGCTCTTCCCTATCGAAAAGACTTTCCAACTTAATACAATTTATATGAGAATTTGTAAGAGTGCAGTGCTTTTAAATAGAAAGCAATCTGAAGACTTTTCTAGATTAATAGTAAGAAATCTGGTTTTTAATCAATTATAAAAAAATGTCATTCAGAAGCTGAAGGTAGCTGGGCTAACTATGACATCAGGATGTCAAACACCCCCCGTGAAAATTCGTGAATAAAAAAGTTAAAATTAAACGCGACAAAATCCATAAAATTAGTTTAATTTAATGTGTAGTGTTTGTATAAATAAAAGAAATCTTTATATCAATTATGATATTAGGTACATTCGAATAGGGATTAAAGTCAAAATGTACATTGTAGATGTTGCAGCCGTAAAATGTCTTTCAGACCGAATTTCGGGCACGTCGGACAGTCTTAATGGAGACTAACCTCATGCGCAGGACAAGAGTGCCCAAGTGTATGCTCAAGCACAGGTGCACTCTCTATTCCCTTACTCTCATAGTCCGATGGGACGGTCTGCCGCCTAATATCAGTGTTGTATTCCAGTCTAAAGGATATATAGAGAGAGAACCAGTATAATTATATACTGTGAAGCATTCCATCTTAATGTTCAGAGGTCAAGCGTCTGTAGACTTTTTAGTTCGAATTTTGTTACAGTCAATTATGGGCTACATTAGTTACTTATTTTGTAGGACTAAGTAACTGTAAGCTCGCTGGACGTAAGCTCGTTTGTCACTTAATTTATATAAAAAAATCATAAAGCTGATGCATTTTGTGAGATGAGTTACCAGAAACGTAACCTCCTTTTACTGGAAATTATGATCCGTTGCATTTTTATAAAACATCCTCTCAGAAATTGTAGCGTGAATGGGTCGGCCCGACCGGGGAAGGACCACGCTCTCGCAGACACAGCGAATACCAAAAAATAGTAACTTCATGCTGCTGCGTTTCGTATGGTGTGTAAAGGGTAGCGTAGACCCTTTTTTACTAGAAACGAGGCATTCCATCTTAGTTCTTAGAGGTGACAACGCATCTACATTTTGATTCTTAATCGAGGATAGTTGTAGATGACTATGACCTACTTGGGGGGAATATTTGACATAAATGCCACGCTCTAACGCTAACGAAAATATGTACATAAATTCGAAGATAAAACGTATGCCTGTTATTTATCAATTATTTTTAACAAAATATATTATGATCTAATTATTTCGGTAGTGTTATTCTTGTTAGTGACGTATCACGTTTTTTTTTTTTAATATTTGTAGGTGTTTTCGCGCATCTTGCACCAGCACTTATAACGTTCCATATAAAATATTTCTTTTGACTAAAGCAACATCAAAAGCTTCGAATCTCAAACGACTATACCACAAACAAACAATCTCTTTAATGAGTTCCTTTTACGACTTTTACTTTTTTGAGTAGCTTTTCGTGGGTGGAAACGAATAATGCGATGTTATACTTTTTTAAATTGTCGTCAATAACCAATTGTTTTATAAATTTTTCCATTTTACGAAAAAATATCCATAAATATATCCATTTTTTTTTTTCGAATAAAATATAACTTAGATCACTCCTGTCATTGCTATCCATTCTTAAAGTTTCATCACTATCTCATCATTGCTATCTGTTCTTAAAGTTCCATAAAAAAAGATTTTTATAAATGGTAATTCATGTCTTAGGGGCATGCAAATTACCACTTAAGCTCAAAAAAGGCGGTACTTTTTTCGATTTTACAAGCAGACTTTACATTTATTTTTATTAGTATTATGTATATTGTGTATAGATGTTGCGAATAACAGATTCATTTGCTCTACTCTATCCCTTCGCGAATTATAAGTATAATTCAATGACGTATGGCCATATTGGGACGTGCGTCATGGAATTCCGTGGTTGTTAGTATATCGAGTTTAAACCGCACTGCATCAATCAATTTGTTGAATGCAAAATAGGTACTGGTTGACCATGTTTGACTCGTGGTCGTCGTGGTTTGAATTCCGGGTTTAGCCAATATCCGTAACGGCCCGAAGTCCGGAAGTTGAGGGTGCCTCAGAAGCTCGAAAAGCCGCTGGAATTGCGGCCGTCTCCCGGTCGTGTCGGACTGCCATCCCGACAGACTGAAAATTTAAAAATAGCGTGGAAATTATTGATTTTGTATGCAGTGTTTGTTAAAAACGTTTATATTAAGACAAAAGTTTATTTTGTTAATATTATTTTTATTTTTTGATTTTGTTTTTAATGTACAAATTTAAGTAAACTTTTGTTAACTCTGGACAGATTCATCTTTTTCAACCGTCGCTATTATAAACAATTAAAGGAATGAATGTGATATCCATGTATTATGATTGAGCTATTTAAAAACAACGACAAAGTTATAACTGTAAGCACAAAACGTAAAAATAATAACTATTACAATGTCGTAGGAACTTGTACCAACTCGTGGTGGTACTGGCTAGTTTGTACACATGACTGTTTCCGGGAAACGGATATGTACCTCAGCCTATAAATTTAAGTGAAAGCACCATAATATGCAACTTGGTATAATAAATTCTTGTAATTTGAATAATTTTTTCTGTAACTATAATATACTAACTAGCGACAGGATGTTTCTTTTTTAAAATTCTGTGTTAGCCGTTCAACCTAAATGCATCAGCACTTTTTACTTTTTAAATTAGATGGCCTTTATGTTTTCTGATGCAATTGTAGTTGTACAGAGAGAGATATTGATGCAATATTTTTTTAATTAATCAAGTTCAAATAAGAATAATCCAATAAGAATGCTTATATTAAATTGAGTACTATTACAAATTACACACCCAGTATCCAAAATTTAAGGTTTTTAGCCCTCTTAGATATGAGAGCAGGCATGTGTCCAAATATGAAATGTATGAACGCTGTAACTTAACTTACTCGTACATAAATGTATTTTTTCAATTAAATCCAAACTAAGCATAGTTACATTTGCAGATGCATGAAACTGTAAGCTCTTGTTGCGAACACTGGAATACAAATTAAAAACAAAAAACTGAAATAGGAGAGGATCTATGATATCAGTACGTTCAACACCTTGGCTACGCAAAGCACCAAAACGTGTAGAATTAGAGCGAAAAAACATAACCCTTGTTTATTTAAAGAAAGCTTTAATTTATTTAACAAAATGGTAGAAAAATTGCAACAGAATTGTTAATGTGGAAGTTTATTTAATCATTCATTTCATTCATCACAGCCGACAAAATTGCACTACTGAACAGGCCTCCGTAGATTAGCCCTTATTTACAATAGCTGTTAATCAATTCCACGATTCGAATATACTTTACAAAATGATAATATCTTTCTTGTACACAGCGTATTCAATAAACCTTTTCTATAAGAGCTAACACGGCTCGACGCAATGTACTACAAAATGATAGACACTTTGTAGTAAACGACGTATTCCAAATAGCTTTTCTGTTAGAGCTACCATGGCTCGAAAATGTGACCAAAAAGTGGAACTACTTTGTAGTACATTGCCGTACTACAAAGTGTTTCCACTTTTTGGTACATTGCGCATAACATATAGCTTTTTAATAAGAGTTATCACGACTTGAGGAAACGTACTACAAAAGTTACTTTCCTTTTTGGCCGAACTCAAAAAAGTTGGAGGTTTACTATTCAACGATATGTGTTTTTTTATTTTGTTTTTATCTATGTATATTGCGCGATATCACCGCAAATTGTGAACCGATTTGATGATCCTTAGTCACTTAATTTTTTGGGTGATAAATAGGGTACGACGAAATTAATGAAAATATGTATTTAGATAATAATGAAATTGTGATAATCCCTAATCTACTCTCTCTCTCTCTCTCTCACACACACACACACACACACACACACACGCACCCATCTTTAAAAAAATTAAAAGTCGCCTTCAAGTTGGGGCTTTAATTCTACTTTACGCCTTACCTTCTTCAGAATGTTAAACTATTTTATTATTTTATTGCTTTTAAGTTGGATTTTACGTTTAGTCCAAAGTTAATTTTAATGAAAACAAAGTTAGTTAAACCTGCCGGGTGTGACAGATGCTCCTACATCATCACCCACCACTACACAGCAAACTAACAGGATATTAATAAAAACAACAATTCTTTTTTGTCGTTAGTTTAATCAAACAAGTCGAAAAGAAACATACGCCCTAGTTTCAAACAACCTTCAAAAATCGCTTAAAATATCTCGTCGGTCGTATTCCAGTTGCAAAGATAAAATCTTTATCTATCACTTACGAAATCGACTCGTGTTTCCATTGATCATACATAAGAAATTGAATATTATCTGGGCTCAGAAAAAGAGCACTTATCTATTGACATCTAAAGATAAGCCTGAATAATCTAACATTCTTACATTTGAAAATCTGGTGGCTATTCGTGCAGTGTCGAGTGTCCTATTCAAAGTTAAATTTAAAGAAATGTTCCAGGGGATTTTTCTTAGTTTATTTTTATACTCTTTCGCTATGTGTTATCCTCAACTGTTCGAGAAAAAGAATTTTAAAATTGGAATTGAATATGATCGTACGTATGCTCTTTTAATTATTTTTAATTTAATGTTTTAACAAAAATAATGAGAACGCAATATATTTATCGTCGATTATGAAAAAATCTGTAATTAAATACGTTACTAAGATTTCTCTTGTATCGTGGACACAGTTAACATACACAAATTGCACAAGCACAAACATCCAGACGCGGAGCGATTTTAGGCATACAAATACTAGCAAAATTTGTTATAATACTTGAGAGGGATTTGAACCCTCAAAAAAACCACCAGAGCTGTCAAAATACAGATACGTTATCACCCCTAAAGCACTAAGATGTAATACCTCATTACCATTTAAAGGATCTCGAGTTTCGAAACACAGCAGTACTATTATTTCTATTCCAATGAACTGAAGAACCGCTTGCTGAGTCGATACGAGTATGGCCTTTCGCCCGATCAAGGCGACACATTCATACTGCAGCCATAATACATTGCAGCCTGGCTCCACCCTGCCTGGTGTAGTGGCGGTGTTAGAAAATCCACTACACCATAACGTCTCATGGGTGTCGTAAGAGGCAACAGAAAGAAATTAAAATTGAATATGGACAGCAGCATATTCCTGATAACAATTTACAATAATAAAAAAACTACGGTTGCAAGCCCGCCTGCCAAGTGTAGCATTTATGGCAAATACACCCTATAAGGCAATATATGGGAGAGTCCTATGTTTAGCACTGCAGTTTAGAATTTTATAGGCTGTAGTGTATACACGTTCCACAACTGGGCACGGACTTCCTGTCATTTCTGAGGGGGTTTTAAAGCAGTTTTAGGCTGTAATGGATACACGTACTGGGCACGGACTTCCTGCGAGGTGGTTTAGAGTAGTTTGTGAGCCGCGCACTTGAGCACAATGCGTGTTGGTGCAATTTACATGTCCTCAAAACATTTTATTCCTGATACGTGCTGGTTTCTTTACGAGGACCCGTTTCCAATTTCTAGGGTAAATACCAGCTTAATTCTGCTTTGTTTCGTATGGTAAGTGCTTAAAACCGAAGATCTTTTCTACTGGAAACGAGGCATTCGATCTAAGTCCTCATATGTCACTACGCATTTGAATTTTGATGCTTAACTAGGGATAAATGAAGATGTCTATAGGTCACAGCCATCTCATCAGGTTGACTGCGTGCTCGTTTCTCACTTTGATTCTAAAAAGAAATAAAATACGTATTAAATTGACACTTCCAATTGTAATTAACAAATTCATTGGTACCGGCAGGCATCGAACCCGACTTATTAGCGTAATGTGAAACTTACGGTGAACGCTTAGTCCCTGAGCCAAAACCTAAAAATATCACATCGTCAGGCAACGTTCTCTGAAAGCTAAATAAATTACCTCGAGACGAAATAATCCAATTTTATTTTCTACACTTTCTGTTAACAGATCTGTAAGTAAATGAAACCAGTTGATTACCGTCTGTTTATCTCGAGGTTTTAATCAAAAATATTCTAGCTATTTCTGTTTTATTTTAGTTTACCTTCTTTGTTATAAGGTGAATATACTTTACCCGACTTTAAAAAAAGAGTAGATTCTCAAATTGATTTTATGTTCTTTTTTTGTATGTGTGTTATGAGATATCTTCATCAATTATGGACTTATTTTATTTATAATTTTTAATTAAATATAAATTTAATTATGTTCATTATAAATTTGGAGTATAAATAGTCTAACGTAATAATCTAAATAAGTAACTAAGTAATCTTTTTCCACCTCCTAAAGGTGGAAAAATAAGTTTTGTAGATTGTAACGAGACAGAAAAATAAGACTTCGAACAACTCAGCTTCAATGTTAAAATAACGACAGCCCTCAAGATGTCAAGGCAATATTCGTTATGTCTAGGCAGATGCAGCTGTTTTAAAGCTTTGCTACTAATTGACATTTCAGCCTTTTTCTAATTCACTACTGAATATAGCCCCCCCCCCCCCCATAGATCGCCTCATAAGAGAGATATTTGCCATAGCAGCTTGCGCCCTCCTTTCTGCTGCGCCCTCCTTTCTGCCAAGGAGGGTCGCGTTCGTATACGGCTTAGAGATCTCTAGACAGATCGTTAAGCCAATTCCCAAAAGGTTGAGTTTAGTGGGTAAAAGTCTCCACATAACCACGCAGCCGGCTGCGTGGTATGCTATGAGCATTCTCAACCTCCCTCCCCCGCTTTCCGGAGGGTTGCCCATATTTGCTTCGAGCGCAAAAAAAAAAAAAAAAAAAAAAACATAGCAGCCAACCTTGGCAGGTTTGTAGGCAACGATAGCTTGTTTATTATATTTAGCTGATATCTGGTAGACGCTGCTGCTCATATCCTGTTTTTCTTTTCCTTCGTTGGTATTTACGACACCAATGAAAAGATAATATTACGTATAGGATTTGGCGCCACAAACTGCATATAACTACGACTAACTTAATGTGCTCTGTGATGCTAATGGGAATTTCTTGACAGTAAAACTCAATAACTGAATTTTTTCAGCCCAACCCGAGTTCTATACTAGGACCTCATGATCGCCACTCGCGTTTACTACTAATGCACAAAATTTATTTAATTAAATTCGTACAATCACTATTATCACATGAAAAACAGATATTAAAAATACTGTTATTATAATTAACTAAGCTTACAGTTTTTCATCTAGGAACAAAAGTAAACTATAAAATCATTTATCAATTAATAATTTCATTTACTGATACTTGATTTAAAAAAATCTATATTGTTTTAATAGAACAAGGAATTTTATTAAACAATTTGATGCATATAATATAGCTGTTGTCAGAAGTAACTGTAAGATTTGTCTTGGATCTACATAACTTGCTTTATTAGAATTACGTTTAAAAACTAATATTCAGGATTCTTAAATTTTTATGTAGTAGAAGAAAGTTACTTAAGAAAACATAGAAAGTATTCTGTATTTTCTAAAGAGTCCAAATGTAGTCCTTACTCACTTTTTAATTACAAATGCTTGATCGATCTATTTTATATTTTCTAAAGCATACACGATAAGACTATTTGCTTCAGTTCAAATGTAGTCCTTACACACTTTTTTCAATTACAAATGCTTGGTTGATGTTTACACAACAGCTCTAGCCGTGGTGTGCGGTAGTTGCGGCGTTTCTCGAAACTTCACAACTTATGGGGTAGGGTAGACAAAACTATTAAATTTACCGCAAATATCATTTACTTGATCCTTCCAATAACATAAATTACCAAGTGATATTCCAAAATATTTAACTGCCATTTGCAGACAGGCCGACACCTTTAAAACATATTTAGTTTCAGTGGGTTTGTTCAATGGGCTCTCAATAGACTTTTTATATAGACCATGTCTTCCGATATATTCTGATCCCTTAATTACCGCATATTTCGACTCGTGGTCGTAAATGCATCTTTAGTCCAACGGTTGAAAATACGTCTGGTAATCTTGAGTTTCTAGGTTCGAATCCCGGGTTGGGTCAAATTCAGTTATTGGAGTTTTCTGACTAGAAATCCTCAGTAGCAGTCCGAAGTCAGGAAGTTGTCGGTGTTAAAACCCCGTGTTTCGAAAAGCACTTTATGTGCTTTTTTCGTTGCTCCTGCGCGCCTGATCTCTCTCTGGTCATGTCAGATTATCGTCCCACTGGAATATGAGAACGAAGGAATAGAGAGTCTCTATCCGTGGCAGCAAGTGTGCTCCTCTTTGTATGAAATCTCCTGCTCTCTGACATCTCGCTTGGTCAGAAGGCTCGGCCCTAGTATAATGCGGACTGTACTCGTGCTGAAGCCTATGCAATTTCGGTATGAAATTGCATAATATATTTCCTACTCTTACGTATTTTTATCAAAGTATTTTGAAATTTTCGTAATGTTGTCGTATCTGAAAAAATATGTATAGTAAGAACAGCAATGGACTCAAAATACTGCCTGGAGGCATTCCATATACATTTAACAAAGGCGTAGATTGAAAAACTGAGACATTTTAGTTTTCACCCTTGCATTCTATCAAACCAATATGATTCCAGCCATTTATAAACTTTTTTATGAATACATATCGGAAAATCTTTATGACAGACATAATAGAAAGCTATATTTGTATCCATGAATAGAATTGGAACAATAACTTTGTTTTATATTTGAGTCTATTATTGATTTTATTAATAGCGGCTAAGAATGTGCTTCTATTTTTACAAAAGCTATTTCGTCCATCATCATTAAAGCACTTCACAAGTCTACTGCTGAACATAGGCCTCCCCCAAAGAATGCCACAAAGCACGGTCCGGAGCCACCTGCATCTATTGAATTCCTGCATGTCTTACCAGGTCGTCACTCCATCTAGTAGGGGGTCGCCCTATATTTTTCCTACGTGGCTGCCACACGAGAACTTTTTCCCCCATCGGTTGTCGGTTCATCAAGATATATGGCCGGCCCATTGCCACATCAGCTTACTAATCCGTTGGACTATGTCGGTCACTCTGGTGCTACTGCCGATATTTACCGGTTAATATTTCCATCAGAATAAATCAGCGCCATCTTTTCAATACTCATGAACTACCACAGAACCAGTATTTCCATTTATGATTTTGGTTTTACGCTAGACCCTGTAGAAATACTCCCTAAATTATCGTAAAAAATCTAAATAGCCTTATTTATTGCACCTTATTTTGAATATTTTAAAGAACAGTATGGTTGCAAGTTTTGAATATCAAAAAATACATTCTTCACTTTTCTAGCTCTTTTGACCCTACCGATAAATCTTTAAAAAATAACATTGGGTGGGTATGAAAAACGGGGTTACCTGAAGTTTTATTTCATCCCAAATTATGAAAAACCCTGTCAACTTGAAGAAATGCCTAAATCCCTACTTCCTATATTGGTAGATAGATAGAAACATTGCACGGACGCACGGCACGCATATGAGCTCGCATTGGTGCTTCATTAACATTTTCGCACCAACGAGTCGGTGCCATTTTGTTTGTTCAGCAACCGATAGACCGGTCCATATGCAGTAATATAATAAGTCTATGACGAAAGCATAAGTTTTTAAAAAGCAAATATGTGTCGAAAATTTGCGATATGCTTTGTTCGTTAGTTAGTTAAACACATTATTGAAGGACAAACAAGATATTGAGTATTAAAAAATTGACAAAAAACGTCATTTAGTTTTTGAGTTACTTCGAATAAAATTGACAACATTGTTCAGGTCTTTTATGTTATGTTGTCTATTCTGGGCAATTATATTTTCGGTACAAGATTTGTATTTTTTTTTTAATTTTTATGCAGGACAAACCTATATCAAATAACTGTATAATTTTAATGACGGGTCTGGTTTATATTGACAAGGAGAAGCTTCACTATCAATCTATTAATCGAAAGACGTACTTCCACGCCCTCCTGGCGATAAGTAGCTACTACAGTCCACCTGCAGCTGACTTCAAACAAAGAAGGTACACAGGAGTTGTCATATCTGAGTACTAGCATTGCATGCCTCACAGCATGTGATTATACTGACTCTCTTTACGTTTTAAATCAGAGCCTAGCAGTACAATCAATGGTAATTTACTGCATAAAAATAGGTGCAGGCGGTACCTACTTAGTTGGACTACCAGACAGAAAAGGGTTTTAACCACCTGGTATAACTAAATTATTATAATATATTTACCCCAATATCTTTATATATGTTTCTTTTTGTTTCAGACTCTCTACCAATGAGTGGCGGCTCCGACAGGTACAGGCACAGGAACAACTATGATCCCTTCTTTGTAACCGTCACTGCTTCAGCTAAAGTAAGGATTAAGAATTAGTTTTTACACATAAAGCACAATATTCAAAAATATTTCTAAAGCCTATTTTATTTTTTCTCAACGTATCATCACATGGTTCTGAAATTATTTAAGGTGTATCGGGGGAATGTGCCGTATGTTGGCGGCGTAAGAAAATCAATTTTATACGTGGTAGAAACTTTCTGTAGCTATATTACGGTTGTAATACGAATGGGTAGGCTCGACTGGGATAGGAGCACGCTTTCACAGAATACAGGCGTGGAGTAGCAGCTTGATACTGCTGTGCTTATTATGATGAGTATAGAAAACTGAAAACACTTATTAATAGATAGGTTATTCATCTTAGTAATTAGGGGTGACAAGGCATCTGCATTGTGACTCTTAACTGAGGATCAATGTAGATGTGTAAAGGCTACAGCATCCACTTACCATCAAGTGGATTGTGCTCGTTTGTTACATTTATTCTATTTTAAAAAAAAACGATTTCGTCCCGTTTATTATAAGATGTAACTATGAGAAATTCCAGAAAAATTTATCGCTGCCAATATAATATGGCGGTATGACTATCTCGTTTAGTTCAAATGTAAAATACTCAAAAACGTCAACAATGTGATACGTCTCACACTGCGATCGTTAATCCGTCTACCCAGCGTGACATTTAAGACAAATCCTTCCTAAGACAAGAGACACATGTCTACTGACTTTTACGGGCTGATAATAAAGATGACGATATTGAAACATCGTTTTTACAAGTTTGTTTTGTACGAATGCTTACTATGCTACTGATGTGCCTTTTTTATAGAATAAGTGACAAACGAGCACACAGTCCACCTGATGGTAAGTGGATGCTGTGGCTCACAGACATCTACATTTATCCTCGATTAAGAGTCATTAACTCAGATGCATTGTCACCAATGAGGACTAAGATGCAATGCTCCGTTTCCAGTAAAAAAAAGTCTCCGGACTTCTACACTCACCATACGGAACACAGCAGTATTAAGCTGCTATTTTACACTGGTACTCTGTGAGAGCGTGGTCCTTCCCCGATCGAGCCGACCCATTCGGGCTACAACCATAATATAGCTGCAGCGTGGCTCTACCACGTATAAACTAGTGTAATAATAATAATAATGTCCTCCAGACCGAATTTCGGTCACGGCGGCTAGCCTCAACGGAGACTAGCCATCGGCGCAGGACAGGATTATTGTACCCAAGTGTATGCGCAAGCACCTGCACTCTCTATTCCCTTACTCTCATAATCCGATGGGACGGTAAACCGACACGACCGTAGAGAGATCAGGCGCAGGACCAACGACTTTACGTGATTTCCGAGGCACGGGGGTGAGACACCGCCAACTTCCTGACTCCGGGCAGCTGCTGAGAATTTCTTGATGAAAAACTCAGTAATTGATTTTTTGGCCCAGCCCGGGATTCAAACCCAGGACCACATGATCAGCGGTGGCACTACTACAGCCACTAGACCAACGAGGCAGTCATAATAACTTAGTGTATTTATTAAATAAACTAGCGACATACTTAGTCGACTTCGACTTCGATTTGTCAAAAAATGTTTAATCACGATCAGTTACACCATTCTGAATGTTAGCCCGATTAGACAGTCGAACAGACGGACAAACAGACAGAATAGATAGACAAATAGACTTAATATCATGTAAATAACCCCCTAGAAAAGCTCAATAAAAGACAGTTATTTCAATACTACAGATAGACCCTTCAGGGTCATTTTTAAGTTTAGATAAAATTATTTTAACGACTATTAGCCTGATAGTTTTTCCGCTTCTAACAATTCAAGTGATTTGTTCAGGATTTACGTTACTTCTTCATATTCACAGTAAAAGAGTTCGAGCCAATGTCAGTTGTACGGGTTTTCCGACAAGAAATTCTCTCTAACAGCACGGAGTCAAGAAGTTAACGGTGTTTTCACCCTCGTGACCTAACCCCGCGCCTGATCATTCTCCGGTCGTGTCAGACTGTCATTCTATTGGGCTATGAGAGTTCAAGCACACACTTGTACACTATAATCCTGCTCTGCGCAGATGACTAGTCTCAATTGGACTAGCAACCACCGTAACCAAAATAGATCTGGAGGACATTGGCTCCGTGTTAAATGTCGCGCGTACCTCTTACAGGTGGCCTTATCAGCAAACTTTTTACTGTACTAGGACACTAAAATGTGGTGATTAATTATCTTAAATTTTTACAATTGGTATGTCAAATTTTTAAGTTCCTCTCCTGTGCGATGGGACTGTCACCGAATTTTGGGCTCGAGGACGTATTATTATTATTCACAAAGCGTAACTCCACAGGGTAAAATAAACTCGCAAATTTTTAAAATAAATTAACTGAATCGCCTCATTTTCGCACGGTCGCTGAAAATTCGGTGCGGTTAGTAAATTGACGCCATTATGGGTTCGCAGCTGGGTGCGAAGGGTTTGCGTCGCTCATTTGTAGGGAAGTTTTAGGATCGCAATTGCGGTAATGAGATGAAGCGATGCAAAAAGTGTGGTCGCAAAGAAACAACACAGTTTTTTTTTTCCACATTTAACACGACTTTCTAAGAATTATTAAGTGATCGCTTAGTCGTCGAAATTCGACGGTCGTTTATAAAAATTTTAAATTCTTATATAATGCAACATGCATTTCCCTTTGAACTAGGCTTTAACATTTACTTTGTAAAACACAGATTTAAAAAATGACATAAATCTTTTTTTTTAACTAAATGTTTGCTTTTTAACAAAATTCACAACACATTCATTCAATCTGTCAATAATTATTTATTTGCAACATTCTTTTGCGGCAAACTCTACATACTCTGTGTGACTGTTTGATCAGTGATTACAGACTATCATGTGTTTGATATTGGTAGAACGAACGTTATATGTCAAATATTACACACTGTACGTGCAATAAAATGCTTAAAAAGGGTACAAAATTTTCTCCTCTATCTTATTCATCACATATATATACTCTTATATGTAGACAACAATATATAACACACATTTTCGTCTACGTTACGACCTTTCACAAATAGAATAACAATACTACCAGCCCTTGTTTCGTTCATTACAGCCTATCCAAATGCCACTGTTTAACACATTCTTCCCTCGTAGATTACCTCATTGTTAACATTAAAATATCCACAGTAAAATTATTTGTAAGTATGTGGGCTTTAAATCAACTAATTTGGCTTTAAAAACTATGTTCCATATTTTGAAATAACGTAGAATATGCCTTTGGTATAAAGTTTAGGGATTTATAGTTTAAACGTTTTTGTCATATAACACGACTTTCTACAGATTCATAAGAATCATACATTTATTATGCTTGGTTGCACCAACGCACAACTTTGCTTTTCGTATTTGTTGATATATTTCGTTAGTTGGGTTGGTTGACATAATTTCCCTCGCTTCCGTTCCTTCCCCGCAAGGGCTAGGCTAATGGGGGGGGGGGGGGGGGTGCTAAATACTGGTGGACGCATCTTTGGTCCTCGAATGAGAGGCGCGCTCTGCCAAGGTGAAAAGGGAGACAGCAGCAGCTGCTCATCTCAAGATCACATGGACTGTATTTAATTAAATAAAGATCTGTATGGGTGGGTGTTGACCTCATTTTCGTGGCTATTTCTACCACCAAGCAGTAGTGTGTGCACTGCAGTGTTCCAGTCCGTAAATTTGCGCCGTGGCGCAGTGGCTTAGCAATGAGTTATGGCGCTGAGGGCCGCGGATTCGAATTCAAAATAAATGCTCCGAGTGTTATTTTTTCCTTGATAAAGTTACGTGTGTTAACTGCTTCTACGATACGGGAAAAATCCCAGTTTGAGGGTAATATTTATTAAAAATAATAAAAAGGTAAAATAATTAACCATAGATGCCTGAATTGGACTGAACACGACGAGCGTTATCATCCACAGTTGTTTAATACTTTGAGTTGTCATCAAGAAGATAATGCTGGGGGTGACAACGCATCTGCATTTTGATTCTCAGTCGAGAATAAATGCAGATGTCTATGGGCCACAAGATCTAATGAACACCCTTACTCTATATAAAAAATATTACATAAAAATAGATATTAGATTTCATTGAATACAAGGCGTTTAGAGACGACTCATTTTGCATTATTTTAACATGTAGAGGCTCAAAAGCAATGGAAGTTTCACAATTTCCTTAATCACTTTGCAAAAGCTTAAAATAAAATACTTTTGACTAGCGAAAATTATGCATTATCATGACGTAAAACTGTACATTAAGACATTATATTATATTAGCCTCTCTCGTTGTAGGGAGAATTAATCTTCACGCTTGGCAGTCGATCATGACCGATTTACCAGACGTCTGGCACTGACGCTGGTGAACATGGAACTGGCGACAGACGTAGCGGTCTGTCCGCTGCTTGTGTCGTTTGAGTAAACGTGTGATGCAAACGAGGCTATATCGCCACATATTAGAATCCATATAGTTTTTATGGTATTTTGCACAGTCACCTCTTATAACCCTGCAGGACGAAATAGGATCACGGAAGCTCCTATGCCACCATCAAACAACTCATTTGTTAATTTACATAAGAGCACCCAGTTTATCTGATATTAAGTCAATGCTGTAGCGTATATACATCTAAGTTTATCCTCCATAAAATTCAAAATGCTGATGCTTTGTTACTCTTCAGGTCTAAGATCGAATGCCTCGTATCTGGTAAAAAGAGGTCAACAGCAGCATTGACTTGCTATTTTCCCCTGTCTAGCTTACTCATTCCCGCTACAACTACAATATATCTGTAGCAAATCGTCCCGCGGGTGTCGTAAGAAGCGACGGTGGGAACCAAAACCAGGAGATAGACACCAACGTCCTCCTTATAACATCTTAAATAAATCCGTGGGCTGCCAACCCACTTGCCAAGCGTGGGTACTATGGGGGAAGCCTATGTTCAGCAGTGGACTTATGATAGTGCTGTAACGGTAACGATAATTTAACTTTGATCGGGACCACATA